CCACCCTCCCACCAGCCTTAGGAAGAGCGCTGCCAGCAGGTTGAGGGAGGCCGATTCTTCCCCTCTGCTTGTCGCTGGTGAGACACATCTGGAGTATCATGTCCAGTTCTGGGCCTGCCAGTCCAAGACAGAGATGGGCATACTGGAGCAAGTCCAGCAAAGGGCCCCAAAAATGATTAAGGGAGCAGAGTGTCACTCACACAAGGAGAAGCTAACAGCAGTGAATTGTTCAGCATGAAGAAAAGAAAGCAGGACAGGGAGGAGGAAGAATTTTGTCAGTGTGTACAGATACCTGACGAGAGGATGTAAATACGTAGCCAGACTCACAGAAGCACTGAGGTTTAGTCCAATCCTCCTGCTCAAGCACAGCCACCTACAGCAGGCTGCCCAGGACTGTACGCAGTTCAGTTTTACAACCTCTGTAGGCAACCTGTGCCAGTACTCAGCCACCCTCACAGTAAAAGAGGTTATTTTCTTAAATTCAGACAGAATTTCACATGTTTTAATTTGTGTCTGCTGCCAAGAGTCTGGCTCCATCTTCTTCATTCCCTTCCATCAGATGTTTACACAGATTGACGAGATTCCCCCTTGAGCCTCTTCTCCAGCCTGATCGGTCCCAGTCCTCTCAGCCTTTCCTCACAGGAAAGATCATAGAATGGAATCACAGAATCATAGTAGTAGTTGGGGTTGGAAGGGACCTTTAAAGGTCATCTAGTCCAACTCCCTGCAATGAGCAGGGACATCTTCAACTAGATCAGTTCACTCTGAGCCCCATCCAACCTGACCTTGAATGTTTCGAGAGATAGGACATCTACCACCTCTCTGGGCAACCCGTTCCAGCATTTCAACACCCACATTATAAAAAATGTCTTCCTTTTATCTAGTCTGAATCAACCCCCTTTTCGTTTAAAACCATGAGCCCTTGTCCTATCGCAACAGGCCCTACTGGATGCTCCAGTCCTTTCACCATCCGTGGTCATGTGATGGACTCACTCCAGTAAGTCTGCATTTTTCCTGTATTGGGGAGTCCAGAAGTGGACACTACTCCAGATACAGCCTAAGCAGTGCTGAGTAGAGGAGAAAGATCACCTCCATCGACTCCAGGATACTGTTGGCCTTTTTTTGCCGTGAAGGTGCACTGCTGGCTCACAGTCAGCTTGTTGTCTGCCAGAGCCCCAGGGCCCTTCTCAGCAAAGCTGCTTTCCAGCTGCGCACTGCTGGCTCACAGTCAGCTTGTCTGCCAGAGCCTCAGGGCCCTTCTCAGCAAAGCTGCTTTCCAGCTGGTCAGTTCCCAGTATGTGCCAGTGCTTGGGGGTTATTCTTCCCCAGATGCAGGACTATTCTCAGCAGTATCCAGTGACAGGACAAGAGATAAAGGATACAGATTGAAATAGAATTCCTTTTAAACATAAGACTTTTTTTTTTACTGCAAGAGTGGTCAAATACTGATACTGGTTGTCCAGAGAGATTGTGGAGCCTCCACCCTTGGGGATACATAGAGTCTGATAGTCTTGAGCAACCTGCTCTAGTTGACTGTACTATGAGCAGCAGTGTTGGGACTAGGTCCGTTCCAACCTCAATTACTGCACAATTCTAAAATTCAGTGGATGTACAAGCAGGTGAGAGACCATAGACTTAAGTACATTCCATTACAGTAAGTGAAGAAATTAGCCAAAATTAAGACTGCCTGTTGAACACAATTTTTTAGTATTCGACAAAGCTCCTTAATTATATTCCTTAGTTATTCAATTTTGTGCACTTATTGTTAGACATAAAATGTGACATGGATTCATTTTTCTCCACAATATATAAAATGTAACCTTCTGCAGTAACTGCAGAGAAGATATAGGTATCACCAATATTATTCCTTGCACTACTTTTCTTTACTACTACTGTATAAGCAATACTGTGGCAATATTTATATTTTTAATCTCCAGTACCTAACACAGTTGATGATAAAAAAAAAAAACAAACAACATTTATAGTTAAGTTTTAATTTGCAATCCTTATACCAACTAATCAGGGAAAATGTCATTCAAGTTAAATGAAAGACATAGCATTAAAACTCAGTACCCAATCAAAGATTTTAAAGCAGTAGAATGAAATACCACTACATAGTTTGAACCTACCTTTCTGCAATAATTTGACCTCTCCATTTTCTTTCTTGATTTCATTCATTATTTTGTGCTTCTTCTTCTCTTTCTGCTTCTTTTCCCTTTCTTTAATTTTGTCTTTGATTTGAGCTGAAATGCAAATATTTTACAATTAAGTAGGAATGGAAAACTAATTGTCACATGCACATTTCATATTACTCTTACATAAGCTCTATTAGGAGGATAAAGGAGGAGTTACAAGGAAATCCCAGTACTTATAATATGAAAAGCTAATATTTATCTGTTGCATAATCCAACATAAGCTTATTTCACTCAGACAAGTTTTGTTTCTACTATGTTAGAACTGTAAACAGTCAACAATTTTTGCTTACTCCCACTACCCTCTGGCTCTTATTTTGCATCTGTAGTCAGCTCTTATTTCTTGAAATTCAAATTACACGCACGAG